GCTTTTCAAGGCACCCAAAGCGCTTTACAATGCCACTATTCATTCACTCTCACATTCACACACTGGTGGAGGCAGCTACAGTTGTAGCCACAGCTGCCCTGGGGCAGACTGACAGAAGCGAGGCTGCCATATCGCACCATCGGCCCCTCTGGCCAACACCAGTAGGTGGTAGGGTAAAGTGTCTTGCCCAAGGACACAACGACCAGGACAGAGAGCCCGGGGATCGAACCGGCGACCTTCCGGTTACAGATACGCTTCCCAACCCCCTGAGTCACGATCGCACCTTGTCAATACCTAAGTAGGTGCCTCTGGAGCATGTTATGTTATTGTCCTGGAAGATCATATGGAGCATTGAGCACACAGTGCAGATAGTATGAAGTGTTTAAAGACCATCTAAAGTCTTTGTCTTTCACAGATGAACATCAATATATGAATCATTTTATTCCTATATTGTGTTTTGTTAGGTGTAAGAAACCTTTACATTTTTTTGGTCTTATATAACTTATTATAGTGAAGGAATCCAAAAATAATGCACCACATTTTCTTTTTATTTGCAGGCCCTATATAAAATGATATAAAGTGGACTTAAAAAGTCTGCATACATCTAGCACTTCCCAGACACACACACACACACACACACACACACACACACACACCTCTTTCAGATGAACACACTCGTCCACGCTCAGCACAGCCACAGTGTGTCTGACACACTCTGCTACCTGTGATTGCTAAATGGAGATCTGCAGCAGCTGATGGAAGTTTGTTGCTTTCATTTTTGCTTTTAAGTAATCTAACTTTAGCTCATGCTTTTGTAATTGTTTGAGCTTTTTATATTTATGTTTCAGAGCACTAGCTTTATATTTGTGCTGGATTTGTTATATTACTATGTTTAAATAAACTGTAGTCAAAGGGAGGAAACAGCTGTGACAAACCTGATGGAACCAAGCACAAAACACTTGTGGCTGAAACACGAGTGAGTATTATCTGTACAAACTTCGAACAGCTGGCAAAAAGATCTGCATCATGTATGTTAGTGCAACAGGTTTCTGCTTCACTCTGCTGTAACAGGCCGGCCCAAATAAACTCCTCGACTTTGCCTTGTGTTGTATTTTTACTAATACAAAACTCTGGAGCGGAGGTGTCATCAAGTACACCCCCATTCCAATTGTAGAAGGAACGAGCTGCATTCTCGGGAAGTCCGGACTTCCGTGTGAACTTAAGAAGTCAGGACTAGCGAGAACACGAGTACCCAGGGGCGGTCCAACCCCCCCCCCAACACGAACACAGACACATATAACATATTAAGGATTGTACATTAACATATTTTATTGTAAACACTGTTGTCATAACCAAACTAAATTTAACCAGAGAAACACATAGATAGAGAGAGAGATACAGTACTGTCAGGGCTGTAGACTTTCTGCCACGGTTGCACTGGTGCTCCTAACTTTTGTGTGTGTGCGCCAAAGAAAAAAATTTAGGCGCACCTACAAAACACAACAAACGTTAGCCCGCAAAGCCACAGTGAACAAAGCAGCATAGCGCAACAAATTCAATTCAAATCAATATAAGACTTATTTGTAACCTACATCAACAATCATGTTATGATAAATTACGTAATTACAACTACAACAGAAGACTCACCTTTGTGGAAATGCTTGGAGCAGACTAACATGTGAGCTGGAGTGTTCTGGAACGTTGTATTCGGTCTCCGTCGGCTCTTTGTTACTTTGGAAACATGGCTTGAACAATTTCTGTCATGCGACCGGCTAATGCAGTTAATAATACAACAGCTTCTTGCCATTTTTTGTGTTTCTTTTTATCGCTGTGTGACTGTTTTCATGTGAAAGCCTGCGTGCACCAGTACCGCTTGCCACGCGTTCCCAGAATCCTTTGCGGTTTTACCTCGTAATGACGTCACATTATCAATCTCCTTTTGTTCCTGGAGAAAGTATTTAACTGAGAGCCATGTTAGGCTCAGGGAGACTCTCCACCAAGCTTGGTTTTCTGTTCTTTGTTTTTGATTAAACAATGTTAGCTACCGCTCACCACTTGTCTGCAGGTTTTATTTAATGGAAAACTTCCACAACATTAAGATCATACAACCCTCCAAAAATTGAAAACTACCAGACCAAATATTTAGTTATTTACATTGGTCTTGATTATTCAATACAACATAATATCATAGGGGCTTATCCCATCTGTCTATCCCCTCTGGCAGGCGGCAGGGGACACCCTGTCACCAGTTTATCACAGACCCAATATAATAAAGCATTATAATCTGATGAGACTTTAGGTTTTTTGCTATATTTTGTACATAACTTGGAGTATGATAAAATGGCCTTGCATACCGGAGCAGAAGGTGAACAACTTATGAAACAATTTATTTTCATGGTGTTGAAATCTCCCAATTCTTTGAATCTTTGGGCTGAAGGAGAGACAATACTCGGTGTATCAATGCTCAATCAACAATCATTTATTTCCATACAATTCAACAGTCAGAGCATTACAACGTCCGGACGGGAGAGATGCTACCAGAGGGTCAGGCACATGTCTCAAAATGGTGACGGGTTGCTCAGCTTTTTATAGTCTCTAGTGGCCCCCAGCTAGTCGTAAAAGCCAAAACCTCACATTTTTTCTCTGTTACAGCGCCTAAGTTATGACCTCGGCAGTTGTTTCTCTGCTTTCTGTAAGGTGGGGGTGTGGAATGTGGTCTATCTATCTCCCCTGTCTTTAGACACAGAGTCTCCTGCTTACAACCTTCTCTTCATGATTCAACAATTAAGCATGTCAAGAAAACAGTGTAACACATTCCCAGCAGATCAAGGATACAGAGTGATGCACATTTATCTAATGAACTAATATGTGAATATGTTCTGTTAACTCAAAAGTATAATGAGAACTACACTACATACAGCTCACACACTCTATATTAAAGGGTATAATGTGATCTACAGCAGTATTCTAATTCAACTACTTTGATTACATATATAAGGTAACATATAATAACAGAATAATCTAATAATGGCTAAAAATAAAGTTACTTTATTAAACCCCAAATCCTGCTTCACTGTACAGGCCTCTGGCAAATCTAATGAGGCTTTATCAAGCGCAGATAATTCTTAGTCAAACTACTGTTACAGAAGTTTTCCATTTAATAAAGCCTGCAAACAAACGGTGAGCAGTGGCCAACATCCTTTAATCAAAAAAGAACAAACACCCAAGCTTAGTGAGAGAAGCCATTATCGCGGGGCCTCGACCGGCAGGGTTTCACCTGAACCTGGCAGGTTTAAATACCTTCAGGAACACAGCTGTTGGCAAGGGAGGCTTAGCACTCCCTTGCTAACTCTTACAGTCCTTGAAAAGACAAAAGGCTCTTCTCCCCACTCTGGGTTCTTTGTGGGTTCTATGCTTAGCATCTGTTAACAGCATGAATGTGAGAGACATTGAGAGATATTAAAAACCCAGAGGCACCGAGGCATTTTACAATAAAATAATGTAAATAATACATAAATTCCTCTACACTACAGATGCAAATGAGCCTTTGTGCCATCTTCCATTATGTGAAGAAATATATAAATACTTTCCTATTTTTGAGCAACATTTGAGTCTAGTATTCATTATTATTCATTATGCTTTTGTATGTTGCTTGACAAAAGTGAGCTTTTACCCACAAGCTGAAAGGTGTCACAGTAACCACGGTGACTCATATTTCAGCCACAAATGTTTCCCTGTGATGTTGCTGTTGCTCATTTCTCATCTCGTTTCATACAGGAAACGGGTGAACAATTCTTTGTCTCCATTTTGTTTTTATATTATCAAAAAATTAGTTTGTGTTATTATTAGGTTAAGTTGTAAGCTTTACCACAACAAATGTGAACACAAGCCACAATTGCTCTTCCTGGTATCTGACTGCAGTTGATGCCTGAATTAGTGAATAACATCAAATGTAAACTCTCATCAGTATCATAGTTCTAGAGAAGATCTAACATATTATCACATTTTGTACACTTTAACATAAATATGATGTGTAAGAGAAATTTAGCTGATTAAGGTAAAGACCCTACAACAATGCAAGAAAACAGAGAAAACGACAACAATCATATAACCCCCATATGAGCAAGCCTGGGAAAACTGTGAGAGCACGTACTCTCCTCTTTGAAATAGACTGAGGGTTTCAAAAGAAACAAAAAAACCTGAATATTAAATAGGAAACCCTTAAATATATAAAATGCACCTAGTAGTATAGACCAGCGGTCCCCAACCCCCGTCCATGAGCCGTTTGGTACCGGGCCGCAAGAGTTAAGGCTCGGGTGTGAAATCAATGGTTTTCAGGGTTTTTATCAGTTTTAATTGTTATCTTTTAATCGTTTTTATCGTTAACTCCGCTTCCCTGGGTCTTTTCCCATGTGCTATGAATAATCTTCTTTTTTTGGTATCGGTACTGGTTTTATTTTGTTGTATTTGTTGTATTTTAACCTTATAGGGCGGTCCGTGATAATACTGTTGGACATAAACCGGTCCGTGGTGCAAAAATGGTTGGGGACCACTGGTATATACTCCTTGTTGTGGGTAGTATTCTAATTTCACATTTTTAGGAAGACACTATAAGGTGACTTCTGCTGTTCAGCCTTGTCTCACATTTCCAGAGAAATCGTCCCAGCCACAAACACCTTAACACTGGCCTAATACACTTTATTTGTATAGCTGCAAGGCTAAAACAGAGCTCGATAAAACACTGGCCTCTGAGGTTAAGAGGACAGGACTGGAAATGATTTTAAAATAACCCAGCAAACAATAGGCTAAATGAAAAACTGACTTTTCTTAACCTCCAGGTTAAGTTTACAATGAATATAAAATTTAAAAAGTTTTTGTGATATAAGCATATTTGCATCCACAACCAAATCATGCAGATATGATGAAGGAAAACGGAAGCTGTCCAGAAAATAAACATGTGACCTTTAAGGCAAGGAATTGTTTAATAAAAAAGGGCCAAATTTACAAAGGGACATCACATAATGCATATTGAATATAAAAATACTATATTATTTGCAGATAAAAAAACAATGTGGATATGAAGTATCAAACACTATTAACAAGAGCAGAGCTCCCACTGAGAGCACCACCACTAAAACCTAGACCTGAATTTCATTTCATGGATTATTAAAGGATGGTTTTTGTTTGTTTCTTCATCATTTCTAATCTCTCCCACTGTTTCCTGCACGTTTCTCTCCTTTTATGTCAGTCAGATTATCACACTGGTGTTGTCACTGTTGGTGTCACACTGAGATCTCCTGCAATGTTGTCCATACCGCAGAAACACAGACGTGCCAGCAATCTATCAATGGGCCCTTTACGCATGAAAACAAACAGAACCAAGTCCATAAAAGGACTGAGCAGAAATAAGCTGATAACACTATACGGAAAGTCCATGCGATATCTAAATGTTGAAGTACAACAAACGGCCATGGGAAAGATCATGAGAAAGTGGTTAAGCAGCAATACAACTAAAGTTCCTAAAACTCTTCGTTTTTCGTCTGTGGGCACTGAGGTGGCAGAAGGAAGAGCTCTGAGGGTCCAAGCAAAACTGAGGATAAACATAGGTGAGAGGTTGAAGACCAAAATAGTGATGGAAAATTGATGGTTCAAAACTATGCAAAGAGGTGCAGTGATAACACAAAGGATCCAGACCAGAACAGAGACCAGCAAAGAACCTTTAGTTTGTCTGATACAGTTCATCTGTGGGCAGGTGATGAGGAAACACCTGAAACACAAAACAGACAGACATGCATTCATATCACAGGGAACATTTCTCTGTTTAAGGACTCTTTAGAGTATAATGTAATGCTCAGAGACATGTAAATGCACAAAGAGACAGACAGATACCTTTCAGCAGCAATGCACATCTTGAACTCAAGATTAGCCATCAAACCAAAGAGGTAAATACCGATAAAAATAGTTTCAGTGGTGTAATATTCATGGCCTTTGTTTGACTTCCAGAAGATCATTGCACTGAACTGGATTAGATTGGAGAATAAGAGATTTGTGTAGTAGGTGACCAGAACCTGCTCCCTTCGTACCTGTAGGGAAAATTAAATTATTAATTAGTTTATTAGTTAATTAGTTAATAATTTAATTAATTAATTAATAAGTTAATAATTAATTATTAAGTCACTTTAACGCAATGAAACATAGAGTGAGGCACAGAAAGAAAGCAATCCCAATAATGTCTTACATACCACAAAACAAAGCCAAAGGATGAGCAATATAGTCAAAAAAAGGCAGACAGTAATGTCCATCCACATCACCACATCGAAACTCTCCATCTTTATCTAACTTTGTGTGTGGTGGAGTTGCTGTAAAAGAAATATCCGTCCTTTTCTTCAGAAAATAACCTGTTGAATGGAATAGCATGCTTGAAAAGTTGGAAGGTTAAAAATGTTCTTTTGTAGCCATTAAATTCTGGACAGAAGCATTGGAAAAGATGGAAAGTCTATATGCTTGACTGATAAAAACAAAAATAAGTGATAAAAATGTAATGGTCCTTCAAAACTTGTTTACTCAAATTAAACTGAATGGAAAGGCAGGCCTTAAAGAAGAAATTTACTGGCTCACGCGACACCAAACCTCAATTTTACACCTATTTAAATTCACTGTCCAAAAATACTTCAGTAGTACATTCACAAGCAAAACATATATTATCCAAGTATTTTTTTCTGTAATGTAACTGTAATACTTAATAATGTAACATGAACATTTTATCCATTAGGTGCTAAAAAGTATAAACTTGTAAGTATAAATTTTTATCCTATTGTATATTTTATTCTATTTATTCTACTTTATATAGTATTTTATTCTTATTGTATTCTAATTTTGCTATATAACTTTTGCACTGTCCACTTCCTTTCCTTTCCCACGTGTGGGACTAATAAAGTTTATCTTATCTTATCTTATCTATTCGACTGGTAACTGAATATAGACAAATATATTGGAGTTACCACTATATAAAAAGCGCTTTGTGATAACATTATAAAAACAGAATATAAGGTTTGTATCTACTTACTTGCTTCAGGGCCACTTTCAGCTCAGCTAGTTGGTAAAATGAAGGCTATGAAGATTCGATTCACAGACTTAATTTTCCGAGTGAATCTGAACAAGGAAACTGCCTGGGGTGTATCATATGCTCCACCCCATTGACACCCCTACGCGCGCTCACACACACACACACACACACACACACACACACACACACACACACACACACACACACACACACACACACACACACACACACACACACACACTCTCTCTCTCTCTCTCTCTCTCTCTCTCTCTCTCTATAATCTGTTACCCAGTGCCTAGTTTGAAGTTTTACTTAATTCTAATTTTAAATATAATAATTCCACTTAATATGTCAAATAAACAACACTTGCACCCACCCCTGAGCAGGCTCCCTTTCTTCCAGCAAAATGGGAAACAAGACATGAATATGAGGACTCACTCAAACAACTAACTTACCATGAAGTTTTTTTTTAATTCAGTTTATTCAGTAGTTCAGCATGAATTCATGATTATATACAGACCTTGTTAGAGTTTGTATTGTTGATTGTCATTTATGCTTACAAATATTCAACCATGTATACTTAGAGGCATATAATTAATTGTGTGTGATCTTTAACAGGCTGCAAAGGCTTGGTGTGTATTCCACACTAGAATGCACACCCACATCCTGGGAGCACGAGAGAGGTCATACCTTCTCTTATTGTTTTATGGTAGGATTAACGTAGTTACGTCTGTTCTAGTCTAAGTGATTTTTGTGTATAAATGAACTGCTGGACTTCCTCACGGTGTTATCTAGGATGAGGGGGGGTCTACCCTCTTCCTGACCAAGGATGTTTGCTTGTGTGCTTTTATGATCCTTTGATCAGCAGTACCCACACACACACACACACACACACACATCCAACACACACATCCACCACATACGCCAACACACACACAGGCAAGGTACTCTTTGTTTGTATGTAGACGTCATATGTTAATGAACCTATGCATATTCATGTAACCTCAATAAAAGGGCAGTGGTACGGGAGAACGGACGAGAGCAACTGGGGTCAAGCGAAGGAACGGCGCCTGTCCGGTTTTCTCCCGTGCACGAGAAACATGAAGAACTTTGCCTATTTGTGTCTTGCTTTGCAGTGTAATTATATTGCCTTCAACGTTCCAGCGGATGGGTTCAAGCTACAAACCTATCAGACCTAGATTCATTTCATTTGCTCTTTGAACTTATCCATGTTTCAGTGTGAGGATGTAAATGACAGACAGGAAGTTGGTTTAGTGTTTGAATAAAAACCTCACATATTTATATAATTTATGCTGTTGAACATTAGATGTAAAAGCCAGAATAAATTATAGGTTCAATGTTTAAATCAGTGTCTAATCAAAATGTGAAATGTTCACTCTTGATCAGCACATACACAGTAGACTGGGATGGTAAAGCATTTCATGATTATCGGCGTGACGGCCACGGGGCGGTAATCGTTCAGGCTGGTGACGGGAGACTTCTTCTGCACTGGGAAGATTGTGGCTGATTTTAGACAGGATGGGATCCAGTGAGAGGTTGAAGAGTCTGGTGTAGATGAGATAATAAGAAAAGATGAAAAAAACTATTAATTAACTACTAATAACTTTTTTTGTCAAGTTAAGGCCTGATCCGTCTGAAATCCATAGCCAGTGCTCTGACACGGTGCCATCAATCTTTGAATGCTGAAAAAGCACAGTGTATCCAGAAAACACATTATATGCTGCAATAAATGCACTGCCCAACTGTCCCCTCTAACACTGCCTTTCAGCAGCATGCAACAGCAAACAGGTCGTCAGAGGAGCCGAGATGATGATTAAGTTTAACATTTTCTAAAATATTGACAAAGCACTTTAAGCACAAGAGTGTTAGTTAATAATTTAAAAATGAATATTGTCTGTATGGACTGCAACTCCCCCCCCAAAAGGTGCACATGTAAAACTGCGGTGTTAAGCGATGCGGTTGAAAAATTTGAGTGCGCCTAACTTTTGTGCGCCCATGGCAAAAAGTTAGTCTAGAGTCCTGGATTGAATGAAGAATTATAAATGTCTCCTGAATCGGGATTTCTCTGTTCTATCATGGGGATCAAAGACTCGGGTTTAATAGTTGGCATTGAAGATGCCAAATCTCTGATAAATTCAACTTTAACTTCTGGTGGTCCTGCAGGCTGAGCAGACGTTTGTCTTCCAGCACAACACAAAACAGTGACTTGACTATGATGATTAACTCTGATGGTGCAAAACACTGCCTGACTACACTCAGAAAAATAAAGGTGCCAACTGGAACCAAAAGTGGTTCTTTAGACTGATGCCATAGAAGAACCTTTTTTGGTGCCACAAAGAACCTTTCAAACAATGGTTCTTTGAAGAACCATTTCTTTCAGTGGTTCATTGAAGAACCTTTAAAGGTGCCCCAAAGAACCATCAAGAAATGGTTCTTTGGGGCACCTTTAATGGTTTTTCAATGAACCTTTTTAAAAATGGTTCTTTAAAGAACCATTTTTAAAAAGGTCCTTCAAATGGTTCTTTAAAAGAACCATTTTAAAGAACCTTTTTTGAGTGGTTCTTTAAAAAACCATTTTAAATCTTTCAAAATAAAATGCATCATAAATTGAATTTGAGTAGGGTAAAAATAAATACGAGCACAGCATAGACATATATTAATGGTTTATTGTCATTTTGTAGTTACCAAAAGACAAAAAGGCATTTTAACCCTCAGCACAACATCACTACTAATACATGTCACATATTAGTGTTTTAAACAGTAATAATTAAATATATTTGCTATACTATAAATAAATATATATAAATACTATAGCTACAGATAACACAACAATACATTTATTGTTTAATTAATAAAACATCAGAAAGTGATAAAACACATTAGAAATAGCAATAGCTTCATAACAGACCAATAAATCAACACATTTTCATCAGCAGATGTTTGCATGTTCAGTAAAAATATTTCAACAACAAGTTTATGATTAAAATGATCAATGAACTTTAGCATTACGCTATGTAATGTACGTTTCATGTTGTACTCATGGTCTTTTGTTAGTCCAGTTTAGTTTGTCTCTGACGTATGTTTCATATCAAATACAGGGAGTGCAGAATTATTAGGCAAATGAGTATTTTGTCCACATCATCCTCTTCATGCATGTTGTCTTACTCCAAGCTGTATAGGCTCTAGGGCTGCCACGATTAGTCGACTAGTCACGATTAGTCGACTAGTCACGATTATGTCGACTATTAAAATCGTCGACGACTAATTTAATAGTCGACGCATCGTTTGAAGCTTTGTAAAATCACAAAGGACGCAGGAATGAGTAGTAGGATTTAAGAGTGTAATAACGGACTGAAACAGAAGATGGCAGCACTGCATGTACAAGGATGCCAGCTGCCGTTAAACCCCGAAGAAGAAGAAGCTGTGTCCCAGAATTCATAGCGCAGCCCAGCATAGTTGTCAACAATGGCGGCAGCTAGTTAGTTTTAACTTTACTCTTATTATTCTTTCTGGGTCACAAAATAAACGTTTGACATATTTTCAGGCGAGAATGTAGCTGTGTAAACCTCAAATATCTGCTCAGTTTATCAAGACACCGCATATTTTCAAAAGCGCTCCGACGTTTTCGGAGACGTCTGTTACCCACTAGCTCGTTAGCTAGGCGGGGGCAAGGCTAACTAGAGCCGTGAGAACACCGGACTCCCGGCAAATCGTTTTCAAACCCACCGCCGTCTTTCGCTAGTCAGGTTAAACATATATATGAGTCACTTAGATAACTTAAAAATGTTATTGTTTGGCTTTCTTTAGTATTTTATTTGTTCCTGAGTAAATCTGTTTGGCTGAGATTAAAGTTATAGTTTTTGCACAGCTAAAACTGTCAAGCAGACAGCTGATTATCAGAAGTGTGAGACGCTGGAGAATATACTCCGGTGTCCTGTTATATTTTAGAAAGCAAGGAGTTTATTAAACTTCACCGAAACAATCTGCAAATTTCATTAAAAATTAATAAACTACCATCTTGTCTTTATTTTTAGTTAGCACAAACACTTAAAGCTGTAAGCTAATGATAGTTATATAAGACCAGATGCTGCTGGTGCAATAAGCTGTACGCTGTACGTCCAATGGATGATGATCTGATTAGTCGACTAATCGCAAAAATAATCGGTGATTAGTCGACTATCAAAATAATCGTTTGTGGCAGCCCTAATAGGCTCGAAAGCCTACTACCAATTAAGCATATTAGGTGATGTGCATCTCTGTAATGAGAAGGGGTGTGGTCTAATGACATCAACACCCTATATCAGGTGTGCATAATTATTAGGCAACGTCCTTTCCTTTGGCAAAATGGGTCAAAAGAAGGACTTGACAGGCTCAGAAAAGTCAAAAATAGTGAGATATCCTGCAGAGGGATGCAGCAGTCTCAAAATTGCAAAGCTTCTGAAGCGTGATCATCGAACAATCAAGCGTTTCATTCAAAATAGTCAACAGGGTCGCAAGAAGCGTGTGGAAAAACCAAGGCGCCAAATAACTGCCCATGAACTGAGAAAAGTCAAGCGTGCAGCTGCCAAGATGCCACTTGCCACCAGTTTGGCCATATTTCAGAGCTGCAACATCACTGGAGTGCTCAAAAGCACAAGGCGTGCAATACTCAGAGACATGGCCAAGGTAAGAAAGGCTGAAAGACGACCACCACTGAACAAGACACACAAGCTGAAACGTCAAGACTGGGCCAAGAAATATCTCAAGACTGATTTTTCTAAGGTTTTATGGACTGATGAAATGAGAGTGAGTCTTGATGGGCCAGATGGATGGGCCCGTGGCTGGATTGGTAAAGGGCAGAGAGCTCCAGTCCGACTCAGACGCCAGCAAGGTGGAGGTGGAGTACTGGTTTGGGCTGGTATCATCAAAGATGAGCTTGTGGGGCCTTTTCGGGTTGAGGATGGAGTCAAGCTCAACTCCCAGTCCTACTGCCAGTTTCTGGAAGACACCTTCTTCAAGCAGTGGTACAGGAAGAAGTCTGCATCCTTCAAGAAAAACATGATTT